TCCTCCTTACACAGCCCCCAGTGAGCTACCTCCCAATGAGCACCCTGTAGCACCCATCCACCCCTCATATCCCAGCACCCTCCCATCTCCCCTGATACCCCAGCACCCTCTAGCATCCACCCACCTACCCCAGGTATCCCAGATACCCTAGCACTCTCTAGCACTGGCTCACTCACTTCTATGCTGACCATAAGCTGAAGTGTATGATTATATGCAAATTCTCTGCAAACAAGCTCCTTATCTAATGCACATAGCATGTCACGCAAGGCACTGCACTTCTTGGCAGCTGCAATGCTGAGCCGCAAGGGGTCAGTTTGTGATGCCAGGTTATCTACTATATATTCTCTTTCTTCTGTAGAAATATGGGGAAACTGTGGGCTTGAGTCTGCTTTCACTTGCACTGGTGTAATTCAGGAGTAAACCCAGGGAGGGGGGGATGAGATTACAATGGCGCACGAGTGTTTGTATCTTTTTGTGTCAGTTTCCGCAGCTAGTCAGCACACCAGAGTCAGGCTCGGACGGTGCATCAAATCCATGCTAGCACTATGGGGGCCTCAATTTGGCTTGAGCGTTTGGGCACTACTGCAATATTGATACATGGCAATAATCACACTTAGCTGGTGTTTGGTGCTTTTCTTCAATCGCTCTCTGAGTGCTTTACAAAGGTTGTTCGTATCAGCTGGGGAAACTGAGGTACCAAGCGGTCATAGATATCAATGCTCTTCATAAGGTGAGTAAGCAGCTTTATTGCTCTTCTACAGCTAGGGAAACTGAGGCATGGATGGTATCATCTAGTATCGCCTGGGGAAACTGAGGCACCACACAGGGTTGGGACTTGCCCAAGGCCAAAAAACAATTTATCGTAGGAGCTGGGAACAGATCAGAGGCTTCCCCACACCCACTTCACTCCCCTGCTCTAGCCATTTCACTCCCCTGCCAGTTTGAAACTCCCTGAAGGCTGCTTAGAGGCAGTTGCAGCTATGTGTTTAGCAGCGCCCCACTTACACGGCACCTCTGCATTTGCCTCAATGATTTAAGCCGCAACGCCTCTGTGAAGGAGCTAAATATATCCAGCCTGCCTGGCTCATGCCAGAAAAGAGTCACTAAATGCATTCAACTTTATGTAATAAAATAAGGAGCAGTCCCAATAAATTCTTGCTTAGCGCTTTATGCACTGCTGTGTCCATGCTGCTAGATTTTTCTGAGTTTAGGGCTACTGTCCACTTAGGAACTGGCTTTGTTATGTGAAGGTGACGGGTGCCACCTCCTGGCCACTGGGAATATAACACAATTGAACAGCTCCCTTCATTCCGCTAGCATCGCTTTGCGGCCTCACAGGCCCCCTGCCTGTCTCAGAGACTCATAGGGTCATAGACCTTAAGGTCAGAAGAGACCATCATGATCATCTAGTCTGACCTCCTGCACATTGCAGACCACAGAACCTCCCCCACCCACTCCTGTAATAGGCCCCTAATCTCTGGCTGAGTTACTGAAGTCCTCAAATCAGGATTTAAAGACTTCAAGTTACAGAGAATCCACCATTTACACTAGTTTAAACCTGCAAGGTAACCCAGGCTCCACACTGCAGAGGAAGGAGAAAAGCCCCCAGAGTATCTGCCAATCTGACCCAGATGAAAATTCCTTCCCGACCCCAAATATGGTGATCAGTTAGACCCTGAGCATGTGGGCAAGACCCGTCAGGCAGATACTTGGGAAAGAATTCTCTGTAGTAACTCAGAGCCCTCCCCACTTAGTGTCCAGTCTCCAGCATTGGGGATTTTTGCTACTAGCAGTCGCCAATTGAACTGCAAGTGGTCATAAAGATATCAGTACTTTCCGTAAGATATGGGGTGCTAATGCAGTAGGATGTAATAACAAAATAATGCAGTCAATTTGCCTGTGAAATGCAGAGCATGTGTGGGATGTATGGACGCAGAAAAGCAGAGGCTTGAGTGGGCTGTTGAACTTTGTGAGGGGAGGTTTGAGACAGGAAGTAAAGATGTTTAATTTCCAGCCTCTCCTGATTTGCCCTGCTTGGATCCATTGAGCGGGGAGGGTTCGCTGCTCTCTCCTGTGCAGCAGAGAATTTATTTCAAATTCAAACTTCCCCAGGCCAGATGCCTCCACCTCAGCAGCGATAGCTTGGCCCCTGGGAATGTTTCGCAGAGTCTTGCTGCAACATTCTCGCTCTTGGCACAGCCTTGTCCAGTGAAATCTCTGCATTGTTAGGAGCAACTCAGTGCCAGCAGTTGTCCTGGCATTGAAGGTCCCTAGAGTGAAGTAGCAGGGGGCATAAGGTGGAGACTTGTCACCTCAGGACTGAGGAGGAACATTTGCAGAAGAGGCGAGGGGTGTATAGAGGAGGAAAACCATCAGGGCACCTGGTCAGAAGTAGCCAGCCTAGGCCTGCTAGTGTGTGTGTGTGGGTGGGGGGGTTCTGGGGGAAGGGAGGAGGAGACGGCAAGTGGTCAGAGACCATCACAGCCGGACAGTGGAGCTGAACCAGTGCTAGCAACAGTGAGAAAATGTTGGCAAAGTACTAAGTCCGATAGCCTCGCTGTGCCTCAGTTTTCTCCTCTGTGGGATGGGGATAATGCTTTTTCCCTGCCTCACTGGTCGGGAGAAGTGGCGTTGTGAAGATCCATTTATGTCTGTAAAGGGCTTTAGAGAAGTGTATGGACCACGGCAATGAAAGCACTGACTGAAAAGAGACAGAACTTTGTTTTCCAACACCGGGTCAGGGGGCTCCATCTGCTCTGTGAGATTACATTTATTTTTGTCCTCTTAACTGAACTTTCTTTTAATGGCAATGGAATGACAGGCCCTGAAATGGATTTCCTATGGACTCCATCCCAAGTGGCATTGTACCCAGCGTGTCTCCCGATAACCTTTCTTCCCTGCCCTGGGACTTTATCTGCCGCGTGACAAACACCCTCACTGGACAGAAAGAGGAAATTCCACTCATTGTTCTGCCGCTGCTGGGGTCTGACTAACACACTCTATCTTCTGCCTGCTGCACCACTGTCAGGCCGGGATTGGCAGGCGTTTCCTGTGGTGACAATCAGCGGGGGCTTCGTGGAAGGAATGTGTTTCATTCCAAGACTCTTGGTTAGCTCCCAGCATGAGCCAGCTCAAAGGAACAAATACAGGCTTGCCATTGCATTTTGGCCATGTTGCCATTGACCTGAGGATTATCCCCCTCTGATTCTCCTCTCTGTTGTCCCAGTTTATGGGTTCTAGGGTTCATGGGGTGGGGGTGGGGGGAGGAAGGGTTCAAGAGACCCATTCCCATGTTATCAAGTGGGAGAGGAATTCTCACTAGATGGGAAGGGCTCCTGATGATGGAAAAGGTTGAGAACTATTGTCCTAGCTAATTAATGTATACTAGCATTATTACTTCTCATGCTATAGCAGGGCCATCTTGGAGCCATATAGGTAAGAGCTCATGAGCTAATAAAAATATTCTTATGGACACCCATACCACCCAGACAGTGAGGTGTAGGGAATCAGGCACCAGACTGGGAGTCAGAAGACCTGGGTACTATTCTTGGCTCTGCCCATGACCCTGGCCAAGTGGCTTTGCCCCAGTTTCCCCATCTGTAAAATTGGGGTTGAGCCTTCTTTTGTGAAGTACTTTGAGATTTGCAGCTGCAAGGTGCTGGGTAGCATTTCTTCCGTCCGAGGCTCTCGAAGCACTCTGCAAATCGCACAGCCTCATGTGCCGTGGGAGTTAGGGCATGTGAGCCCCATTGCTCAGAAGAGAAAAGTGAGGCACAGAAAGGTAAAGTGCCTCGCCCTATGTCAAGGCCAGGAACAAGCCCACATCTCTCGCCTGCCAATCCAGTGCTCCAACCACTGCACAAGCCTTCCTCTCATGCATCTATAAGCAGGTTAAGGATGGTTAAGTAGGAAAGTGGTAAAAAGAAAAGGTAAAATACCTCACAATGGGCTAAATTCTGATTTATCCTTCATGAATGCTCCGGTGGATTGGAAGGGGCAGGGACATGGTCTCACACCCAGTGCATTTGTGCAGGACTCAGGAAGAGCTCTGAGCCCAAGAGGAGGTGGCTAATGAGCCTTTAACTTGTCTTCTCTTGTCCACTTCAATCCCTTTTTCTTTCGGTTTCTTTTCTCTCTAGTCTGTTTTTTTTTAAGCCAACTTTTATTTCCTTCCTTTGGCTGATCAACAACTATAGGGGGGAGTCATAACCACCCAAAGATAGCTGAAGGGTACCAAGGCCAAGGGTGGTCCTTTGTCCTGGGGGAAACTATCCTGACACTGAGATCTGTTCCCTTTTTACAATTATGATGATTCAGAGGAGCCCCAGTCGTGGCCAGGACCCCATTGTGCTAGGCACTGTACAAACACAGAGCAAAAAGACGGTCCCTGCCCCCAAAGAGCTTGTAGGATAGACTTCTAAGGGCAGTGAGGGGAACCCCATCCCTCAGAGATCTTTCAAAGGGATCTGAAGAACATGCAGTAAGGAGCCAGCCAGACTTGGTGTTGGAGTGGAACTAGATGGGACCTACTCGACTGTTTCCATTCCTAAGGCCTCAAACCAGCAATGGGATTTTCTCTATTTACGTTACTGGGAGTTGTTTCAGGCTCGGGAGTTTCAGTGGCTCTGTGTCAGCCTTTGTAGAATTCTTACCTTTGTTCAAGGGGAAACAGAATCTTCTTAGTTTTAATTCTGAAGGCAGCCTGGTGCTTGTCTCCTGCTGGGACAGCAGTAGAGCTCCTCCCTCCTTGGGCCTAGGCTGTATTCCTCTCAGGGGATCCCATGCAAGTGGTAGCAGTATGGGAAGCTTGTAGATGCTAGACTAGGCTACATCTAGGGAAAGGACATGAGTGACAGGATGGGCCAGTGTTTAGAGGCTGAGAGACCTGGGTTCAAGTTCTTGCTCTGCCAAAGATTTCCTGTGTGAGCTTGAGTATATCACTTAGCATCTCTGGGCTTCAGTTCCTCATGTGTAAAAAGGGGATAACAATACTTTCCTACCTCCCAGAGATGTGGAGAGGCTGAAGGTTGTGAAGTACTCAAATACAGGGTGGTGGGTGTCATATGAGTACCTAAGACAGACAGAGGAAGCTTTACCATTACAACACTGACACAAAGCTAGACCATCTCAACAGTGACATTTATGAGGTTGAAAAACTGAACCAACACCAAGCTATTGGGCAATTAGTACTATGCTGGTGCTAAAGGAGGCTGACTCAGGAAGCAGGCTAGACAGACTCAGGCAGGGGACAAACTCAGCATGCCGTCTTCTATGACATTTTATTTTAATAACTTACAACGTACTCATCACTGTTGCATCTGGATGCACAACATTAAAACAAACATCTCTTTGTATCCACCTGCACTAAGAACCAATGCTAACCCTTCTGCTCACAAGAAAAGAAATACTGTACATAGCAGGGGTGGGTGGAGGAGAGGAGAATGTACAATGAAGGGTTGGTCACTCTTCATACTTAGGACTGACTAATCTTCAAATGCTTTACAGGCATTAACTAATTGTTCCTCACAACACCCCTGGGAGATAGGTGAGTGCTGTCATCCCATATTATAGGTGGAGACCCCAAAGTGTGCGTTAAAGTGATTTGCCCAAAGCCAAAGAAAGAGTTGCTATGAGAAATGGGATTGGGACATGAGAGTTCCTGGCTCCCTGTCCTATACCCAGATCTCTACACTACACCCCATCCCACTCATTCTCAAAATAACTCTCAGTATGATTCTTGTAATTTTGCCTGCTTAATTCTCCTTTTCCGTTCGAACTGTTCAGATCTGTCAGCATTTAGAAGGGGGTGAAGTAATACCTTTCATTGGACCAACTTCTGTTGGTGAAAGAGACAAGAAGTTGGTCCAGTAAAAAATATTACCTCGCCCACCTTGTCTCTCTAATATCTTGGGATCAATGCAGCTACAACAACACTTCAAACAGCATTTAGAATGTCATTTGCATCATAACCATGTTCAACATGGACTTGTGTTGATTAAACTGATGGGGAAAAGCCCCAGGATCACCCACTTCTCTTTGGTCCATCATTTGGACACTCAACAGTAGAACTCAGTTGAAAAAACGGGAAGAGCATGGTGAAAAATTCACAAAATGTTGGCTGAAACTTCCCATTGGTGTTTCAAACTTCACACTGAAAAATCAAAATTAGAAAAATGTTGACCAGCTATGCTCAATATACTTTGCACGCCTGATTGTTACTGATTGAAAGCTCAGTGTCTCATGCATGTGAATGTTTTGCTTGCATAAATAAGATGTATGATTTATGGCTTAATCCAAAGCCCATTGAAGTCAATGGGAATCTTTCAGTTGACTTTATTTGTTTGTTTGTTTGTTTGTTTGTTTATTATTCAATTGGTTTCGGCCTTTAGAAAATTCAATTTTGAGTGTCTCTACATCCTCATTGCTAGTGTTGTAGGCAAAGACCTATCGCGCTTCAGATAATTATATATTTTATTTTTTGTTTTGTATTTTTAAATTACCTTTTTTCTTGAAAGGATACATCTAAAACTGGTAAAAAAATGTACAATGGGACATTTTTCCATGAGAAAATGCTGATTCCAAGGAATCAACATGTTCTCCATGAACATGTCAATTCCATCAAACCATTTTTCCTGCCAGCCCTGTCTCCCCCAGCTCCCAGATTGCCTGGACAGCAGCCTCATGGGGCCACCTGACCTGCCACGCAGTCAGCTTTCTGGGAAGTCCTATGAGAGTGAATCCATCAGCTGGGAGCAAGGCAAATCATTCTGTTTTGGTTCTCCCAAAATGGAATTTTTCAGACTTTTTCCTCCTACAAAAAAAATTCAATTTTTTGACATTTTGTTCTGATTTGGGACAAAAAATATTCTTCTACAAAATCAGAATATTTCATGGGAAGGAAATTCAATTTTCTCGCCAGCTCTAAATACATCATCATGACCCAAACTTTGCCTTTGCTTCTAGCTTTCCAAGAAGATAGAATGTACTAAGGCTTCACTACAATAGATTAACAAGAGTTGAACAGAGAAAGAAAGAAGAGATCCTGGGGTCAAATTTTCAAAAGAACTTAAGTGACTTAGGAACCTGTGTCCCATTTTCAAAAGTGACTTAGGCTACTAGGAGAAAATCAGTGAGATGTAGGCTCTATGGCCCAGATCTTCAGAAGTATTTAGGCACCTAACTCTCATTTATTTCAATTATGAAAATGGAGTTTAGGCTCCTATGTCACTTAGGATATGTCTACACAGCAGCTGGTGTAATTACCAGGTTGGGTAGATGTACATGCATTAGTTCTGCTTGAATAATCCCACCTGCCCTAGTACGTAACTAGGGAGTCAGGTGGGATTGTAGATGTACCTTTAGGTGCTTTTGATGATTTTTTACCTGTTATCTCTTCTTTTCACATTTCATCCAAGAACCGCTCCTCTTCAGCATATCTGGAGCCCTCCCTATGTCTCTTCTTTTAAGGCATGTTGTCAGACTTGCTTATGGCTCAAATGCATCTGGGAACTTCATTGAGTGAGTCGGACATTCCAATTTAGCAACTTAAATGAACATCCCATAGGTATAAAAAAATATACATTCTATGAAAATATATATATATAGTGCAGTTAAATAGCCTCCCAGAGATCACTGGTGTGGTATTCTGATTTGATTTAATTCTTTTGAGAAATCAGGAGCTATTTTCATGTCAAAACAGCCCTATTCATTTTTCTTCTGCGCTACTAGGTTATTGGGCATCTCCGTATTGAGTTTGTGTTACGACAAAAAATGCCCCAGTCCCATGAGCATACAGAGCTACATTTTTGTGTCGCTGGTTTCATTGACTTCTGATAGGATGAAGCCAGGGTTGTCGTAACCTCTCTTTGCCTTGGCTTTAGCATCCTTCTCATTGTAGAGGCAAAAGGCACAGTGAGGAGTCTCTACTTCCACAGTCTTGCTGAAGTTGTGGAAGTCTACTCTATACTTCCCTTCCTTGGTCTTGGACACGATGGGAGCAAAGCGGTAGCCCCAGAGTACCTCCTCTGGGATATAGGATGTCCTGACCTGACAGGTAGCACTAGTGGCTTCCACTGTGCCATCTAAAAATACCACTAGCTCAAAATCCTGCTGGAGGATGGTTTCCACTGACATGCGGAAGAACGGGCTTGTCCTATCAATGACGTGGTAAATAGTTAAGGGGGAGATGAAGAAGAGGTTCTCATTGCCAGCATCCACCACAAATTCTATGTTGACCTGGTCCAAGATGATAGTCTCCCCTTCTGGAGTGATGGTCGTCTTCAGAAGCTTCCCATAGATGTGGCTCCCAATCAGTAGACTCTTCCTAAGGTTGGCCACCCGGATAAGGAGGCACAGCTTGCCGCCTCGTTTGCTAATGACAGCATTCTTGCTGAAGGTGATGGTCTTGGCCCGTTTCTTGGACCTCGAAATCTTGGCCAAGATAGCACCGCACATGAAAGAGTTGATGATGACCCCAAGAATAGACTGGAAGATCAGCAGAAAAATGGCAGTGGCACACTGCTCTGTGACACACCGGAAGCCATAGCCAATGGTAACCTGGGTTTCCAGGGAGAACAGGAAAGCAGAGGTCAAGCCGTTTATGTTCTCCACACATGGGGTATGGTTTATCGAAGGACTGAATTCAGGAAGATCTTTATGTATATATGCCACAACGTACCAAAGGAGACCAAATAGGAACCAACTGCCTAAGAATGCTGAGATGAAGATGGTCATCTTGTATCTCCATCTTAGGTCCAGGATGGTGGTCCATATATCAATCAAGAAGACAAACCGTGACTGTTCTTCCACGTTCCCAAACTCTATGTTACACCTTCCATCTTTAGATACCAGCCTTGCTCTTCGGCGACTGCGTTCCGTCAGATGGCTGGCAAAGCGCTTCCGGAAGTATTTGAACATTCCCTCTATCGACAAAGTAGTCTGGACAAAGAACAACATTTTATAAACATTATGGCAGGTGATGGTTTTATTTACAGTTGGAGAGAGAGGAATGACTCCTGTACAAGACTTAAGATGCTGACTTGCTTATGAAAAGTTATGACATTAGCACATTGGCCTTTGGCCATTTGGGAAGGATTCCAATTCATATATAAGGAAACAAATGTGTTCTTGCCCCAAGGAGCATTCCAGTGAAAAATAATAATGGCAGTTTGCTCAATAAGCTTTGCAAACATGAATGAATTAAATCTCACAACCCCCTATGAAGCAGCTGAGTATTAGTATTCCCACTCTCAGATGAAAAAACGTGAGGCACAGAGAAGTTAGATGATTTTTCCAAGGTCATACAATGGTCATAATTTTCAAAAGTGACTAGTGAGTTTAGGTGCTCAATTCAAGACGCCTTAAAGGGGCCTGTTTTTCAGAAACTGCAAAGTTTATATATGGGGATTTTCATTCAGCTGCTAAAAAGATAGAGGGGCCAATCTTAGGAATTTGTATCTTTATATATCAGCATTAGAAGAAGAGGGAATGCGAAATGGATAATGAACATTGGGAGGGTAGGGGGAAAGATGGAGAAGGACCTATACTAGCAATGTGAGCTCTGAATGTCCATTTAGTTATTGTTAATATGCCCATTGCTCTGCTACCTGAGTTCAAATCTCAGATCCAGCTTCGGGTTTCAAACTCTCCCACAGTCCAATTTGTGTTTTGGTTCAGGCCCATCATTAATAAGAAATGACAAAACTGGAAGGGAAGGGGAGTTTTCTGCCTTCCCAAGAGGTACTGCTAAAAATAAAAAGCCAGATTCTGGCCTCCTTCCTCTGTCTTCTTGCTCATTTGGTTCCCTGTGACTGGCAAACACTAATAAGAGGGACATGAAATATGAGAGTCACTGATGGGAAAATAGTAGAGATGGCTTCAAACTGCAAAATTTGGGTCTGGGTTTGGAACCTCTCCAGAACTAGATGTGGAGTTTTGATTCAGCCCATTACAGAGCTAGGGACTAGCTGCAAAATCCATATGCAGATCTGGGTTCAGATTTTGAATCGCCCCAAAATTCAAGGATGTTCTGATTCAGGGAGTTGATTTGGCTTGTGACAAAAAGACTTATTTGATCCACTAGCCAGTCCCCCTGCAAATGTGAGATGTAGTTCCCCAGAGAGGACATATTAGACTAACAGGCTACACTAACCCATCATGGGAGTGTACAGTATGTACATGTACTCCGCCTTTGTTGGACCACATTCTTCTCACATGGCCAAGTTTCATTTCATGCTCTAATCATGTAACCTGGGGCCAAAGAGTTTCAGCCTAAAAACAACTAAAATAAATTAAAATAAAAAGTGAGGCCCTGAGGGAAATGCTCTCGCTGGTGATTCACTGGCTGTTCCGAGTTTAACTTTACTGCATCTTTTGAGGACATTGGGTCCCCAACTGTGTAGAGATGTGTGTATTTCAGAGGGCTGGAGCTTGCATGACTGACCGTCTGTTTTAGAGATACCCAGCCCTGGAATAGTAGGAATGGTGCAGATCAGACTCCGGACTGAGGGGCATTTGGCAGAGCCCAGGGCTGGAACCACTGCATGGTGAAGCAAGTCAGGATGGGTGTGCTTAGGTAGAGCTTGTGTTCCATATTGTTCTACAGCCCTCACCATCACTGGCATCAAATCAGAAACCCAACAGAAAATGACATTAAACCCTCCCCCCAAAAAACCACTGGAGTCTGAGATGTTGTGATGGGGGGAGATACCCACACTAGCCCTGCAAGAGCCAAATTGGGCCAGGTAGGTCCAATCAGCTAATTAGGCTGCAAATTAGGGAGCTTTTGGCTGGAGGCAGCTATTAGAGAACAGGCTCACCTGTGCAGAAACAGGCAGGGCCTGTAACGTGGGCTACAGATTAGACAGCTGCTGCTGAGTGAGGGCAGTTGCTTCCTGGGACGAGGGAGGAGTGCTTCGGAAGACTGCAGGAAGGCAGGCAGCAGTCAGTCCCTGGGAAAAAGGTTCTTGGAGCTGGGACACCCAGAGAGAGAAGGGGAGCTGGGTGTGGTAGGCAGCAGTCCAGGGAAGGAGCAGTGAGGGCTGGGAGAGGAAAGCCCAGAACTGCTGAGTTGAGCATCCCTGGACTAGAACTCGTAGCAGAGGGCAGGCCCAGGTTCCCCTACCAGCCACTGAGGCAGCAAATGGACTGACTGCCTAGGACTGCTGATGGACTGAACTCTGGACGGTGGAATGCTGAGTGACCTGGCTGGCAGGCTGAGTCACAAAGGAAACACTGAAGGTCCTGGAGCAAGAGGAGCTGCAGACCTGAGTTGGAGTGATGGCATCCAAATTGTGGACAGAAGCATTGACCTCAGGAACTAATCCCCAGAGTGACCAGGAGGAGGCACCAGACTAGAGGTGAGTGGAGCACCCCGTGACAGATGTCTGCACCTCTGATCTCTGTTTGGGGACAAAACAGCTAAGGTCACATTTCGGCTCCTTAGCACTCAGTCTTGTTCTCTCTGAACTCAGAGGGAATTTCATCATTGGCTTTAAGAGGAGCAGGATCAGCTCTTTAATGAAGGCAGTTGACTGATGGTTAAGGAGGGAGAGGTGCCTTAGGCTATTATATTAGGTCTTTCACCTCTCGTGTGCTGTGGTTTGGAAAGGAGATGAACTGGGTCTCTGAATGATCCTTAGATATAACATTATTTTAGTGTCTAATCTGTGGCTCTCTTTCCCTGGCCCAAATTCTGGCTGGTAGCACAGAATCCCATCAGCAATTCTAGCCTCTTACCTACTGAAATGGCCACCGCACAGGCCCTCTGCTGTACGAGCCATGCAGGGGATGAGAGAGCATAGCACAGAGGATGGATTGTGGTCTGCAAGTCTGGCTCTGTAATGTCACCTACATGTACACACACCTACACCCATGTTATTTGTGCTCCTATTAGGAATAATCAGGGTGGGGTCATGCAGGCCCGCCAACAGGGGAGGCATAGGGGACAATTGCCCAGGCACCTGGGTGATTTAAAAGGGCCTGGGGCCTCCACCACCGTCAGTGCAGTGGGACTAAGGCAAGCTTCCTGCCCGCCCTTGCTCCGCACCGCTTCCGGAAGTGGCCAGCCAGTTCCTGCAGATCCTGGGGACAGGGTCTCCACGTGCTGCCCCTGCTCCGAGTGCTGACTCTGCAGCATCTATTGGCTGGGAACTATGGCCAATGGGAGCTGCGGGGGTGATGCCTGCAGGCAGCAGTGCATGGAGACCCCCAGGGCCTCCCACCTAGGAGCTGCTGCCAGAGGGGTGTGCTGGTCACTTTTGGGAGCTGCCCATGGTAAGCGCTACCCCCCCTTCCCATTCCTGCACCCCAACCCCCAGCCTAGAACCTGCATCCCGCACCCAAACTCCCTCCCAGAGCCTGACCCCACACCCCCTCCCACATCCCATCCCCCTGCCCCAGCATAGAGCCTACACCTGGCACCCAAACTCTCTTCCAGACGCCTGTACCCTGCACCTCCTCCAGCCACCCAACCCCTCCCCCAGCCTAGATCCTGCACCCCCTCCCACACCCAAACTCCCTCCCAGAGCCTGCACCCCACACTCCCTCCAGCACCCCAACCCCCTGTTGCAGCCTGGTGAAAGTGAGTGAGGGTGGAGGAGAGCAAGCAATGTAGGGAGGGGGGATAGAGTGAGCAGGGGGCGGGGCCCGGAAAGAGGCGAGACAGAGGTGTGGTCTCAGGGAAGGGGGCAGGGCAGGGGCGGGGCAAAGGTCATTGAGTTTGTACGATTAGACAGTTGGCAACCCTACCGGGTGGGCATGTGAAAGCCCTGGCCATGCCACAAGAGCGCGCCCAGCAGTGCAGCCGGCAGCTCGCTGGGCACCAGCCAGCGCAGGCACAGCACCGCCCAAATGTCAGGCGGACCGCATCCGCGTGGGCATGGCTTGTGCATGCGTGGGGGCCCATTGACTGTTCTGCCCTGGGGCCCGGAATTGCTGGGGGGGCAGACCTGAGGTCATGAGTGGCTTTTCCTGGGCCTTCTGCCAGCTAGAATATGGGTGCACTTAACACTGCTTTGGCAGCGTATTTTGGGGCATTTCCTCCAGGAGCCATAATTTGGCCCTTTTATATATACCTGGGTTTGCAAACTCCCATAAAATGGGCTACATGTTAATTAATTGTCTCGTGGACACTGTCCCTCCCATTCCACATCATCACTCAACAACCCTGGAACAATTAAAGCAATTGATTCTGTAGGAAAGAAAGTTGTTAATGTATTTTTAGTTTATTTTAATTAGAGCTAGCAGCTGGAAACACCCTAAATTATGGCTCTTGGGGGAAATACCCCCAAAATATGCTGCCAAAGATGATGAATTATAATTCTGTGACCTAGCATTGGTATGCATGATGTAGCTGCCGCTACCAATACATAGTGATAAAGAAAGGCTGCAGAAAGGAGAAGGGTGGACTAGTGGTTAGGGAACTAGCCTGGAACCAAGTAGACCCAGGTTCAATTCACTGTTCTGCCATAGACTTCCTATGTGTTCTTAGACAAGTCACTTAGTGTGTGACTGGAGCTCAGGGAGACATATCCAAACTAGCTTTAATCTAGCTAGCTCAGGAACTGGAGTACTGTGCCTATCAGTATGGGCTAAACAAGCCTACCTGGAACCCTGGGTAATTACTCAAATTAAAGCTAGCTGGGATATGTCTACATGAGCTGCAATAACTGGCCCTGCCCCCCAACCCCCGATTGCAATTTAGCAACCCTTAGTCGCTTTGTGCCTCAGTTCCCCATCTGTGAAATGGGGATGCTAGCACTTCCCTATCTCACAGAAGTGTGAGGGAGGTTAAATACATCAGAGTGTGAGGTGCTCAGATAGTACGGTGAGGAGGGTAAAGGAAGTGCCTTAGACTAAACAACAGTAAATGGAAAAATACATTAAAGAAAATCAAAAATGGAAAAAATGCAAATCAATTCCATCTTGCAAAGCTGTCA